GCCCCGCCTGAGGGTCCCGCCCGCGGCGCCGTCGGTCCTGTCCGGCCTTCGACGGGGCGAGGTGAAGGGCTGCGGGGTCTTGGGGTGGGGTGGGGCTGGGGCAGTGGCCGGGAGGCATCGCGTCGCGCCGGTCCTCCCTCCCTCCGGGGTGGGCGGTCAGACGGGGACGATGTGGAGGCCGAAGCTGTCGGCCTGAAGCTTGATGTGGTCCCCGCGGTAACTAGTGGCGGTCATAGGCAGCGGCAGCAGCGGCAGGGGCGGAGCCCCGGGGGGCGGCACTATAATAATAAGGGGAACCTGGAAGTTAACACAGGAGAAGAATGGGCTGGGTGAGAGGACAAACAGGAGAACAAAAAAGGAAAGAAAAGCAACGAAAAGACCTCCCCGGGCCGGGGGCTGCGGGATCGGGGCGGGGAGACCTCGGCTGGCCGGCGAGGCCAGCTGGCCCTGAGGAGAGCTGCGCTCACGCGGAGGCGGGGAAAGGGACCCCAGCGGTGACCGCCGCCGCCCCGCTGCGTACACTCCAGGGGGGCCCGCGGGCGAGAGCGGCGCCGAACCTTCCAGCGACCAGGGAGGAGGAGAGGGGCGGGAGGCGCGAGCGTCCTCGTGGGATCCCTGGGCCTCGACGCTGCACTAAAAAGCTGGCCCGGCACGGCCGGGCGCCGAGGTCAGGTGGCCTGAACCGAGCGGGCGCCGGGCACACGGGGCGGCCGGGCGGGCTGGCGAGCGGATGGGCGCGCTGAGCCGCCGGCCAGCCAGGTGGCGTACTCACTTAGTAAGGCGGGGTTGCTGAATCTCCAAGCCTCGTTGTAGGCGGTGTACTGGGGGTGGCTGTACGGGTTCCCAGAGAACTCGCTCCCTGCGGGGAGGGGTGGGATCAGTCTCGCACGCCGGGGCGGCCCCGACGAGCCCGGCCGGAGGCGCGGTGCAGTGGGCAGAGCAAAGCCGGCCGCGGGCTTGCGGGCCAGGCGGAGGCGGGCAATCAGTTGGGTCCTCGTGGGGAGGCCCCGGGGAAGGCCAAAAGCATCGAAGCGCCTTGCACACCGGCGTGGAGGGACTGTGCGGGCCCGCCCGAAGCTCCCCGGCGGAGGCGCTCGGAGCTGCCCAGGAATGGTTTGCTTCCGGCCGCGGCGCGCCCACGCTGCTGCTTTGGGGAGCGAAGGCCTGTTTGGTGGAGACTCTGCCCGAGGAGGCGGAAGCTTGGGGAGGATGGCTCAGAAAAGCGCTTTGGTCACTTTGTCCCAAAAAGTCCTAAAAATGGCATCTCGGTACGGTGCCAATGCAGGGGTGGGGGCTCTGCTGGGAAACACCCTCTCCGCCTGCCCCTGGAGAGGCCCGATCCGTGGGCCTCGTGGCGGGCGAATGAGGCGGCGGGAAGCAGGTGGATTGCCTGCCAGGCGAGCGGTGAGCCAGGGACCCCGTGGGCTGGGAGCCGTCGGAAGCCGCCTCCCTCCCTCCGCGAGAGAAAGGCCAGGCCTCCGGGTTTCCCCCTCGCCCTTTCTCCTGTGTGATGACCCCAGACTGTTTACAGTGATCCCTAACCGCGGGTTAAGTAGAGGAGAAGGGGCCCCTCTCGGAGAGGGAGCTGGGGTGGGGGTGGGGGATGCAGCCACTGGAAAGCCTGTTTATTGACGAGGAGGGAAAGCATGCGTGCAGCAGGATAATGAGCTTCTGAGCTCAACTGTGACCAAGAGGAACTGAGCTATCTCCTTCCCCATCGCTAATGAAACAAGTGTAATTTCCTCATCAGCACTAGATTCTGTTTAACGACTCCCCCTTTGCCACCATGAGCTCTTTGCGGCTCCCCTCATCCCCACCTCCCTGCAGACTCCCCACCCCCACCTCCCCCAGGCTTCCCTCATCCCCCACCTCGCCAAAACCTTCTCCAGCCTCCACTTCTCACCACACTCACCTTAAGAATCTCCTGTCCCCCCTCTCCCCACTACTCCCCCTCCCCCAAATCTGGGCAGGAATCCCCACACCCACACCTCCCGGCTCTCCTAAATCAGTTCCTCTAACTCCCTTCAGCCCCTATCCTACAATACCCTGCAGCAATCACCCTCTTTGCCATCACAACTCCCTCAAGCTCTGCTGCCTAGGGCTGGCCCTGGATGGATGGATGGACCAGGGAAGGGGCCAATAATTCTCTTCCACACCCACCCACCCCTTGAGAGTTGAACTTCAGGGAAGGGGCACTGAGAGGGTGGCCAGAGGAAGTGGCTTGCAGATCCAGTGAGTCTTACCCTCTTTAAGGCAAGAGTTTTTTGGTGTTTGTAAGAATAGGAGCTTCAACTCTCTTTAGCTTCAATCTGGGGTGAAGGGTGGGTGGTAGCACAACCTGTAGCTGCAGTCACGAGACCCTAAATATAGCCTCTGCCTCTGATCTGCACAGCCCAAATCCAAGTTCTCTCAAAAGACATGGGATAGAGCCCCAGAGGAGCCGTGCGGGCCTGGGTTCCTCTGAGGAGATGTAGGGTGCTCTAGCTCGTCTCCCTGAAGCCAGAGTCTCTCTGGTTCTGCCATAGCCTGTCCTCTGTTCTCTTTCCTTAGGGACTACTTCCTCTTCTCTGGGGTTGGGTCAGTTTTCTCGACACTGGTCTTCTCCTGTGGGTTGGTGTGGACCAGGATAGCTTTGGCTGAGTGACTGACATGCCCCTGCAGATAGTTGTTGGCTCCAAGTTTCCATGGAAACAAGGGCAGGCTCTTCCAAGCAGTGTCAGCTGGTTGGGGTGAGCTGGGCACTGAGGGTGGGGCTGAGGGCTAAGGGCTCCCCGGGCACAGGCTTGGGTGGTGGGTGCTGTGAAAGGGCCATGCCATGCAGTGGGGGTGCACACAAGGGTGCAATTCTGCAGGCTCCCTCCCTAGGTTGCTCATGAGGGAGGGTGAGGGACCAACTGCAGCCTCTAGGAAAAGAGAGACAGAATAGGGCTGGTTTGGGGAGAGGGATGTTGATTCTTCTCCACCCCCAGCCTCAGACTACAGACTACTCAGCAGCTCACCCATGATTTAGTTTCCCCCACCTAGATTAGGCAGCTGTAGCATTGTCACCTACCAGGCACCATTCCTGCCAGGGTGGAGGTAGGGTAGCTTCCCTGGCCAGTGGGGGGCACGTGAGGGGGGTAACCAGGCAGAGTGGTGCTCGCCATGTCACGACCTGGAAAAACACAAAGGGGAAGGGGTGAGGCCTGGAAGAGAGGGGCCTGCCTCTACTCACAGTAGGGCTACTCCATGGAAAGGAAATTGCTGTGTGCAGACGTGGGGCATATGGACAGCTCTGTGTCCCAATGAGCAGGTCCAGGTGTGCCTTTACATGCATCTAAGCTTCTTACCTAAATGCCCATGCCGTGATCACCTGTGTGTATGCACTTCTGTTCTGTGTAGCTTTTTGTGTGTCTCTCTCTCTGCGTTTGTGTGTGTATGTGTCTGCCTTTGCTTATGTCTCTTTGCATCCCAAACCCAGATGGAGATGGGAGGGAGATGACCTGGTTTCACTCCTTCTCAGCAAGATATTCGACTGTGGTCTCTCCAGTAGCCAAATGGACCTCAATCATCTCGCTTACCTCTCCCTTCCCTAACACCTCACCTTTCCTTCAGGCTTGGAGGACACCCTACCACCACCTCTGCAGGGGCTGTTGGGACTCCCTTGTCCTTTCCAAGTGGAGCTGCAGGTGCTGGGCCTGGCAGGTGTGGACAGCAGAGGGCCAGCCTGTGCGCTATTTTGCTGTTAGTGTTTATGGCATTTAAATGATAGAAAACCATCCCTGAAGCAAATCAGGGGCTTTGAGCCAACAGTGCAAGTGGATCAGATCAAGTTCCAATGAACAAAATCTGCAGCTCCCACCAGCTGCTTGACTTCTGTCCCTGGAGGTCTCTATCAGCTAGAGCCTGGAGGGTGGGAGGCAGGGCTTTCCTTAGCAGTGTCCTGGAGTGGAGGCAAAGTGAGTCAATGTCAGTGATACTGACCAGAGATACTCATGGTCCACAGACATCTCCTGGAACACAGCTGCACCTGACTGGCCTCCCTTACTTGCCTGCTGCCTCCATCGCTATGAAGATGACCACCTGCCTCTGCAATTTAGCATGCTCCAATCTCTAATGACAATAATTTGCCTTCTTTCCTCTTCCATACGTCCACATCCTAGAGACTACTTCTTTATCCACTCCTGGTTCTCCTGGTTCCCATTTATCCTCTACAGGTTCGCTTTATCTTTCTCTCCAGCCAGTACTACTCTACCACTCTAGTGCTTCTGTCCAACCCCTTCCATGTTTCAGTCCCTGGAATGGCAAAGCATAGCTGGAAGAACTTATGTTCTTGTCAGGTGCTGTCAAGTTGATTTTGACTCATAGCGACCCCATGTGACAGAGCAGTACTGCCCCATAGGGTTTTTCTTGGCTGTAGTCTTTATGGAAGTAGATCTCCAGATCTTCCTCCCACAGAGCCACTCTGTTCAACTGCCAACTCTGTTCAAACTGCCAACCTTTCGGTTAACGGCTGAGCACTTAACCATATGCACCATATCTGGCTAAGTTAATTTTCTGTCCATCAATTGAGCCTTAGTCCTCATTCTTCCAATGGCTATTCTAAAGTATCTCTCTCTCCTTGCCACTCTCTCCTAGAAGATGACCTCACTTCATACTTTTTTGAAATGTGTGTTTCCTTGCCCCTATCTTAACACATCTGTGTGATTCATCTTTCCCTAAGTATACCGAGCCACAGGTCAGGGTTTTGCATTTCCAGCTGCCTGCTGAATATTTTCATTAGCTGTTCCACTGTCATCTCAAATCTAATAGGAATAAAAGTAGATTCATCTTTTCCCTCCCGCACCTTCATTTCTACTGACCCTCTTGCAGACCATCAGACCAGAAACTTTAGAGTCCTTCCTGACACCACCTTTTTCCCCTCTATGTGAAGGACATACTGATGAAGATCAAAGACTATAGCCTCCAGTATGGATTACATCTCAACATAAAGGAAACAAAAATCCTCACAACTGAACCAGTGAAAAACATCATAATAAACAGAGAAAATACTGAAATTGTCAAGGATTTCATTTTGCTTGGATCCACAATCAGCGCCCATGGAAGCAGCAGTCAAGAAATCAAACGACGTATTGCATTGGTCAAATCTGCTACAATAGGCCTCTTTAAAGTGTTGAAAAGCAAAGATACCATTTTGAGGACTAAGGTGTGCCTAACCCAAGTCATGATATTTTCAATTGCCTCGTATGCATTCAAAAGCTGGACAATGAATAAGGAAGACTGAAGAAGAATTGACGCCTTTGAATTACGATGTTGGCAAAAATATTGAATATACCGTGGACTGCCAGAAGAATGAATAAGTCTGTCTTGGAAGAATTACAGCCAGAGTGCTCCTTGGAAGCGAGCTTGGCGAGACTTCATCTCACGTACTTTGGACATGTTATCAGGAGGGACCAGTCCCTGGAGAAGGACATCATCCTTGGTAAAGCAGAGGGTCAGCAAGAGAGAGGAAGACCCTCAACGAGATGGATTGACACAGTGGCTGCAACAATGGGCTCAAACACAGCAATGATTGTGAGGATGGCGCAGGACTGGGCAGTGTTTTGTTCTGTTGTATACAGGGTCGCTATGAGTCGGAACTGACTTGGTAGCACCTAACAACAAAAACAACAATGTGAAGTCAGTCACCAAGTATTGCCGATTCTCCTTAGTGTTGCTGTTACATTTGTCCCATCTCCATTTCCTCCACCACCTCCACAGTTCAGCTCCTAAGCACCTGCCTTTGGTTTGCCACAACAGTTTCTTTACTTGTATTCCCATCTTCCAGATTGTTCCCCTTCCAGTCTATCCCAAATGTGGCTGCTTGGCTAGTCCTCATGAAACATTGCTTTCATCACACCACTTCCCTTGTAAAATATTGATTCCCTGTAGCCTGCAGTTTGAATCTAAACACTGCCAGGCTTTCAAAACCTCCCAGGTACTCTACCTGCACCCCTCCCCCAAACTTTCTCAGCTCTGGTTCTCACACCTCCTGGTTTAGTTTGACTGTTTTCACTGGCTTGTGTACTTTGCTTTTGCCATGTCGTTTTCTTCTTCCTTTACTCAAAGTTTCTCTCTCCTTCCAGCTCAAACCCTTAAACCCCTACCATTCTACCCACCAGGGAAGTTTCTGTCTTCTGAACTTCTATAGCGTCTGTGCCCCACAGTTTACTATGTCATTATATTTCATAATGTATCAGCCCTGTTGTTTCATATCATGGCTTTCGTCCTCAAACAGATTGTAAGCAACCTGAGGGCAGAGCCCCATCTTCTGTTTTATCCTGCAGAGTTGAGAGCATGGTAGATGCTCAATAAACACTTGCTGATTAATTCTCTGTCACTCTATTGCATTTATAGCCAATTCTATATGGGTTCGTGCATAATTGTTTTCTAATTATTTCTTATGTGTTGGTCTCCTTTAAAGACACAAAGGCTGAGACAAAATGTAAATGAATCCACTTTTTCTGTAAAAGCAGTTTCAACAATGGATTATGATTTTTCATAAAATGATGGAAGATTTCTAGTGAGGGACTTATATATTTTGTGACTCAGCTTTATTATGCAATAGAATGATTTTCCACTGTACATATCTAATGTATCTAATATCATATGTTTCCTGGAACTCTAAAACAACAGAGTAGAACTATCAAATAAGAGGTCACTCTGACTCTCAGAGAGACAGAAGAAAGACTCTCTATTTGCTTGGTTGTGGGTTTTCTTTTATTGACTTCTATTGTCAATAAAGGGAGTCCCTGGATGGCACAAATGGTTAACCCACTTGGCTGCTAACTGAAAGGTTGGAGATTCAAGTCCACGCAGAGGCACCTTGGAAGAAAGTCTTGGTACTCTCCTACAGGAAAATCAGCCATTGAAAACCCTATGAAGCACAGTCCTACTCTGACACACATGAGGTTGCTATGAGTTGGCAGTGATTCCACAAAACTAGTTTTTTGTTTTTTTTTTTATTGTCAATAAAAGGTATACTCCTTAGAGCACTAGAGGAAGGACAGTCAGGAATAGGAGAAGGATATGGAATGTATGGCTAATTGCCTCCATGAACAACTGCCTCCTTTGCTATGAGACCAGAAGAACTGGATGGTGCCTGGCTACCATTACTGAACATTTTGATCAAAGATTCTATGGAAGAATTCTGATCAAAAGGGGGAAAATGCAGAACAGAATTTAACATTCTCATAGACTCCAGACTTTCTGGAGCCATGGAGACTAGATGAACCCCTGAAACCATTCCCCTGAGATAATCTTTAAAATTTAAACCAAAAATGTCCTCTGGAGTCTTCTTAAAGCCAAACAATAGTTTAGCTTAACTAATAAAAAATGTCTGCCTTGAGTACTATGCTCTTTTAAGAACTATTGATATGGGATCAAAGTGAAAACAGCAACTCAAAAGATTAGATAGGAACCTTAGGGGGCAATGAGTCTATGTTAATGGGGGAGAAACAACTCAGAAAAAGAGGGTGAGAATAGTTGTGCAACTTGAAAAATGTAATCAATGTCACTGAATTGTACATGTAGAAAGGATAGAATTGGTATATGTTTTGCTGTGTATGTTCTCAACAACAACAAATAAACTAAAAGGTACACTTCTCCTGACCATCTCTCAGTGAATGAACCTGAAGTAAACAATGACAGCAATATCTATCAATTCCTAGACAGATTAATAATAAGGCACTTAATGGTCAAAAAAGGTCCAGGAGAGAGGAGAGTTAGGGAAGATTTAGAGGTTTTGAAACTAGAAAGATATAGAAACCAAATTTCTCCAGGCTGTCTGATCTTAATATCTACTAAGCAGCCAGGAAAAGAAGTATGCTTCTTTCTTTATGAACAGGAATTTAAATGCATCTGAATTCTGATTTTTAGCTACATGGTCCCCACAATCTGTCACACATGAATTCCTTATAATGTCAGATTTCGTGACAAAATCTTTTTATTATTGTTGTTGTAGTTTAAATGAAGTTTACATTTCAAGTGAGTCTCCCATACAAAATTTTATACATACATTGTTATGTGACCCTAATTGCTCACCCCATTCTGCAACAGCACACTCCTCCTTTCCGTTCCCGACTCCCCATGTGTGACAAAATCTCCTAAGTAGCTTCAGGAGAGAGGAAGAAAGCC